CTGCTGCCCTCTTTTTGTTCATTTGCAATACCGATCAGCTTTCATCTTTTCTCGCCTGTAAAAAATCAAAAATGGTAACAGAATGCAAAACAAAATTAGAAACGAATACAAACAAGGGAAGGGGTTGTAATACCGTAAATGCTTGAAAATGCAGCACCAAACGTGATATATTTTCTTTAAGCGCCGTTCTTGAATAAGCGCCGAATACTTACCTATCAAGTAACTCTTCGTGTAATTTTCCACTTGTTTGTGCACGCTCTAGATTGCTTTGGTCTTCTTGATTCACACGTAGTCTCCGGTCCTCAAAACTTTGGAATTTCTTGCTGGAATTACAAGAATATAATATTTCAACTTACACCACTTTTTTGTGTGGGGGAGGTTAAGCAGAAACTTGTTCCTAAAGCCTGTATTCCACTTGCGAATTTATTTGTGCGAGCCGAAAGCGTCGGTTCATGCATATTCACATTTCTATTGGAGTTTTCGCTTTAGCGAAATCGGTAGTTTGAACTGTTCCTACATTTGCGAAGGGAAAAAAGCATGCAACCAATCAGAGCTCAGGAACCGAACCAACTCCTTCTATTCTCGCGAATAAATTTGCCTGGTGGAAAAAAGGCTTTACAAAGCTAATCAAAGAATATACATCACGGTATGAATGAACGAAATTAAGAACAATTCAAGCCAAAACTTAATGCCAGGTCTTTTCACAAGACTAATTCAAGATGGTGTATTAAAGAGCCATGACCAGAGAGAACTTACTACCGTTCAATAAAATTGCTAAAAAGTTTGGGTAGCAACACAGAAACATGTGAACTTGTACTGCATAACAAGGCTAAACAGGAAGGCCAAAACGAATCCTAATTTATAATCCATATCATATTTTGCATTTTTCTGTGGTTTGTTGTTTAGTTTGACCATTTAAATAAATCACATGTATATTTTTATTGATTGCAAGAAAGTTTACATATTATTATCTTTTCATTAACCCATTTAATCTGATTTCGATACTTACACATAGCTGACCTCGCATTCCTTTAGGTCACCTCTGTCTTCTTCTGACTTCTTTTGTTTCTTTACCAATGATTTATTCGAGCGAATCTAATAAAAAAAATTACAGATCTATGATAAACGGATATGGAAAACAAATAAAATTCAAAATCAATAACAGTAGCTTAATATAATTTGACTACAGTTTCTTACTGCCATAATTATATTTTTTAAAAAAACAGATACTATACTAGTTTTTCAGGTACTAATTGAAAATTAGTGCATGAAGGAATCATTAGTGGAAAAAATTCCAAAGGCCCAGTTATAACATATAACCACACACCAACTTATTCATTACAAGAAAACAGAAATTAATTTCCATATCATACTTTACTGAAGTACAGCGCTCATTGCCAACAATGGAAGTAAGGCAAAGTGTTGAACAAGTTGTCCAATGGTCACTGGGTGCAGCGCTCACTGCCAACAATGGAAGTAAGGCAAAGTGCTGGACAAGTTGTCCAATGGTCACTGGGTGCAGCGCTCATTGCCAACAATGGAAGTAAGGCAAAGTGTTGGACAAGTTGTCCAATGGTCACTGGGTGCAGCGCTCATTGCCAACAATGGAAGTAAGGCAAAGTGCTGGACAAGTTGTCCAATGGTCACTGGGTGCAGTAGCAAGTATTTTAATTTCCTTGCACCACT